ATGAATTTTTTTTGATCAAATGGTTCAAGTCGACTACTTTGTTGATTTTTTGTAAGTTCGCTAATTAATTCTGGTACTTTATCTATGTGAATATGCAATTTTAAATGTTTTCTAAGGTTTGAAGTTAAGCCATCTACATATGTTAATGATCTTCCACAGATATCGCATTTTGCATAGTGTCCATTTTTTTTAAAATAATGCCAAACAAATGACCTATTATTTGCAGCAAACTCCAACGGCACTATAGATGATGATTCGTTGGCTCTAATTTCATCCATTTTACTTATTTCAAACTCCAATAAGAGTGTAGATGAGGTTGACATGATTGCTTAAAATAATATTTTTGGATGATTTAATAATTTTTTTTTATATTTCTTAATAACACAAGCTAATTACCTTTATATTAAGCACAAAAAAAAAAGATGCAATCCAAACAAATTATATACCCGGAGTTGTATTAATTGATTTTACTGTAATCACTTATGCGATTTACTTATACCTCTCTCCTTAATATTTGATCTCTCTACCTACGCACAACTACATGTTTATTTTTTTCAAACGATAGTAAAAGAATCGATCGATCATGCACCTATTTATTTAATTACTACAAATAATGATGCCTCTACCTGTAAAATAAACTCCATTGTTATACGTAATAAACTCTATTATTATCAATTTATTATATATTATCATTACGACATCTACATTAACCTCTGCATTCTACCCTTGCTGTGTAACCACCCTCAGTTTCAGGTATTTCGGTTCTAATATTATTCAAGACCCGGATTCAAATCATTCTAAAAAATTACAGACCCGGACTCGAATTATTGGCCGATTCCAGGCGGATCCGGGTATTACGGTTCTGGTTTGCGGAACACTAATTCGTATGTACAATATATCTGTGTTTTTGATAATTTTATAACAGCTACAACTTATTGAGGACAGAATTTTTCCATATATGCCAATCGGCCTTGAATGATTAGAGTGTTTTTGATTTATTGAGGGATCATTTTGCACTATTATGCAAGAAGTCAAACCTAGCCTAAACCTACTGAAACATACTATTTGTCATTGTTGTATAGTATTAAAAATAAGCCTGTTTCAAAAAAATGATATACAGTCAATACTGTCTAATTGCATATACTAAGTGTATTTTAGGTTTTTAATTAATAACACCAATTTATATGAGTGCGTAAAAGTGAAAACCTGGAAATAGATTTAATGGTTTACTATGATGGGTTACAGGTTTTCACTTTAATGCACTCGTATACTATCTATATGTATAAAAAAGTTGTTGACAGATGGCATGCAATTAGACTAATAAGCTGTTTGTCAGATTAAATAACCTGTTTTATCATCAAAAAGTTCTGCACTAACAGGAAAAGAGTCTTCTATTTTTAGCATTGTAATTCGAAGATTATAAAATGAAACAAAATGCTATAATAAATTTTTTATTAAAAAGTAATATGTAGTGAAGTTTTTTGCAAAAATACCATTCTTGATGGATCGTCGATACTGTTTTTGATAGGTAGCAAAAGAAAAATAATCCACATACCGTTCTTGATAGGGTTCTAAAAAAGAACCTCTAAA